ATAGATAGATAGATAGATAGATAGATAGATAGATAGATAGATAGATAGATAGATACTTACTCCACAGGCAACAGCAACTGTTGACGAAATACACACAGAAGTGGAGACTGTATCCGCTGTGTTTTCTATAGACTCCCGAACGATACATCGTGAACACCAGGATAGCGAGGACACCTGGGAAGTTGATGACAGGCAACTGGTTATGAATTAAATGTAGATCTAGTATGAAGACAAAAAATATACAGCCGAAACTGTCTAAGGCGGCTGCCCATTCTAGAGGAGAAAAGTGGTTGTCTTAGGCAGGTGGCGGTCTTCCACAGGGTCATTATAACGTTTAAAAACTCGCAGGAGGGGGATAAGGGAAGTGGCCGTTTGTACAGGTGGTTGTCTTAAACAGGTGGCTGTTAGAGAAGGATCGACTATACGATATTTACTACCACCCGTTACACACATTCAGGGTCCCGACTTTTGGTGGGGCCAACAAGACGGTAGCATAAACGTCATGCACGAATGCTTATTTGCAATCTTTTAAGAAGGGGGACCACCCTTGACATTTATCATCGTGTCTTTGACGGAGTGCGGCTTCGTGAGCCTAAAGACGACTGCCCATTGTCGAGGAGTAAAATGGCAATTCTGAACAGATGACCATCTGTGACAGTGTGTTCATGATATAATTATGCAAAGGAAGGGGGGGGGGGGGAGAGTGGGAAGTGGTCATTGGTACAGACGGTTGTCTTGGGTAGGTGGTTGCTTGAGCAGTCTCGACTGTATTTACAGTGGAACTATTCGGGTGTGCATAATCCGATTGAGACAGAAAATCGGATAGACAATTTAGTGTGCACCATCTGACGGAATTCAGCTAGAACAAAGTTTAACGCTTGACTCGCTTCGACAAGGTGTAGTACAGTCGAAATTATTTAAGGCGGCCGCCCATTGTAGAAGAGAAAAGTGGTTGCCTTAAACGGGTAGAAATCTCGACGTCTTACACAGTCATGACATTGTAAAAAAAATATATTAAATAATAATAAC